AGGTCCATTAACTATAAGCTAGATAAACTTATATTTAGATTAAATATTTTTAAAGAATTATAGTTCTATGGAAACCCCATTGCTGTCCACATAACAAGAAGGCATTTTGAAAGAATATGCCATTTCATATATCATTAATACCTTGACAAAGGCCGGCGGAGCAACAACCGGTGAAGGTTGGTTAAGTGATTAAACACGCTTTATCGAAAAATTAATTAAATTGTATCGATAAATTATAATTGTTGTATGCATATATTATATATATAATAGTCATTGGATATATTTCGTTCCCTTTTTTTGAGTTTAACTAGTATTATTTTTTCTTCCTTTATATTTAGATTCATATTACTACATGTTGTTTTCAGTGGCGAAGCCAGAAATTTCACAAAGGATGTTCAATTGCTAAAATGAACCTTCTCTTCTTAAAAAGTGAAAAAAAAAATTGCTACAACACACGATCACTTTAAGTTTGTGTGTCTTTACTCTTTCAAGGCTCCCGAAACCACTAGGCTACATCATATTATTGTGTCAAGGGTGTCCAAAACATGTTATTTATTAGCCACTTTATTTATCATTTTACTTGTATATACGGTATAATTTTCCGAAGAAGGACACCCTGACATAAGGGTGGCTACGCCACTGGTTGTTTCGCTTTGATATATATTATCTTATTATTGTTTCAGACAATGGTCATTCAAAATCCACTTTTGTTCTTTCTTAGAAGATAAAGTTTGTCTACATTCTGCTCCCTCTTCAAACCTCAACTATGGAATTACATTAAATTTTTTGTTATTATTGTTCTTAACGAAATTTCTAATTTTAGTACTCGCTGAGCATTTTCACTCTCTTATTATATCTCCTGTTTACTTATTGATCATGAAGGATACTATATGTTTCTATAGAACTATATCAATATATCAATGGTCTAACATACATAACAGGGAATACGATTATTTTATCTTGTTTTCAACCATTTGTATCAATCTTTTTTTTTTTTATAATAGCCATCGTTGAATTAGCAAAAAATTAGCTATGGATTATCAGGAAAATTGCTAGTTGCAAGCTATTTAGTGGTAAATTGTAACTAGTTCCATTTTTTTTTTCTCTTGGTAGTGTATATATTTAGGGGTACTACGGAGTATATAAGACTTTCAACAATTAACTAATTTCACCTTTAGAATATATAAGGGGTGGGGGTGGGGGTGGGGGTGGGGGGGGGGGTTGCTTTGCCGGTTTATTAGTCTGTTCTCTATTTTTCTTTCTGTTGTATTCTATCTCATCGTATCACATGTTATTCTGTAAAATTAAAAAAATCATTATCAATACCTCGATCTAGGTTCCGAATAATCTTTTGTTTCATAACCATTATTGGTCTTGTAAGTGCATGCAAAGTTAGCTAATGCCTAATGGTCTAGATATCTTCATCGACTAAGATGTTAATTAAGTTACGTTGCTAATAAAAGACTTCTTGCTAGTCAATAACAATGATATTTTGGTGAGAGGTAGCTGTCAAAATGCCATTAATTCGTACATTTATTTACTATATAGTAAAGTAAATTAGAAAACTAATTAAATATAAAATATTATCCCAATCTTATTGGTAACTTGTTATCTAATCATGTATCTTTCAACTAACTATCAATTAGAAATATTAAATTAATAAAAATATTTCCCTTACCTAGCGTTAGCGTTAGAAATGTGTAGATTTAGCCCAGATTTTAATCTTATTTTACGTTTGATAGATTTCACTAAACGAGGGGGGAGGGGGGTGAATTTTATGAAATGAAACCATTATTTTAATCTGAAATACTAGCTCTTATAACTAATTTTTCAACTTTAAATTAGGTTGAAGTACAATTAAATAATCATATAAGATAACCATGATAGAGAGATTGCACTATTAAAAAACAATGAATGAATTAGCAATAGGCAAAATTTCATATTAATCCTACTTAACGATAAATAAAAAATGGGAAAAATTCATTTACCTAGGAGTTATTGCTTAGCTATGGATCGTTTAGAATTATTGACATATTATTATGGAGTTAATTTCATATTTTCTAGTAATGTCGATATTTTAAGGAGGAGCTTAACCCTAATATAATGCAGTAAATTAAGTTGTTTCTCTTTTAATTAGAGTCTCTGATTATAATTTTGAAAATGAAGAAATTCTTAGCAGAGAGTGCTTGCTTTCGAATGTAGCCTTACATGACATGAATTCAAAATAATCGCATTCCAATGTAAGTATCGAATACCCAAATTCCGAATTGAAAATATTTTTTTTTAAAAAAGTAGTCCATATATAGTAAAAAGAATATTCCGACACAACCTACTACGGTCCCCAATGTAATGGGACCCAATCAACGACAACTGTGTCAGATCAACAATAGTGCGTTCTCATCACGCATTATGCCATGCGTCTTGGACACACAACACACGATTCTGTTTTGCCCCTTTGAGACACCAAAAGCCAACATTATTTAAACGAAATTTTAATAGCTCGATTAGTTAGTTATTGAAATTTTAATTTATTAATGAGTATTTGGTTCTTCATCTCGTAATTCCGTCTTATTTCTCTTTTCCTATTCTCAATTTTTTTTTAAAAAAAAATAGTAGTCGAGGTGGATGGCGCGTGTAGGCACGCGCGTTGGAAAGATTCGTTGGAAGTTTTTGTTGTCGTGATTATTCTGAGCCAAAGAAACGGAGTATATTCCAAGCAAAAAAGAAAGTTCTAGAGTGGCTTTTGGTAAATTACATTTTGACCCTTCATATTTGTACATTTGAATTTTTGACTTATAGTTTTTTTTTTTTTTAGTTTGTTAGTGTTAGTGAAGCCCCTCAATTTTTGTTTCATCTCTACATTTACCCAATTTGTATATTTTGTTATTGAATCAATGTAGCAAACTTAGTTTGTTCATCAATAGAAATGAACTTGAGAGTCCACGAGGTTAAGGTATTGTTAGTTGTACAAATGTGTAGTGTATATTGTTATTAAGATGTTCAAATGGTGACGAGTTATCAAATTGTATCCTAATATTACCTTGTTATGTGTGTCTTGAAACTCTATTAATATTTTCTTAAGTAAATTTACTATCGCATGTGATAGCTGTAAAAAAACACACGTTCCTCATATAATTGACTCCATAATTACCTGGTGTGTTATAATTTGTGCTAGTTAACATTAGAAAAGAAGTGATAAAATAATACGTCCTCCGTTCATTTTTACTTGTCATATTTTGACTTGGCACAATCATTAAGAAAATAATTACTGATGTAGGTATTTTACCAAAATGTTTAGCATTAAGTCTTGAAAAACGATATGAAGAAAGGATATCTAATGTTGAAGGTAAACATGGAAAAATATAATTATTTTTTCTTAATATGTCAAAAATAAAAATTTATTTTAGAAAAAAGTAACAAGCAAAAGTGAATAAAGAGAGTACAATAATACCAATTCTAAAAATCTAAGTAGTTCTTTAATTTATTAATTATCTGAATTTCTACCTTGTTGATGAAAGTTCGATTCTACGTGTTGTAATTCAATTCCCCAACACTAATTCTAGTGGGGAAAATGAGAAATAGTAGTAGGTATGTTAAATGTGACTTTCATAATTTAGAAGGACAAAAGAGTAAAAAAGGTTTGATCTTATCTTGATAATGTAATATGTAACGTCAATGCCAGCACACGCTATTTTTTTTTATTTTATCGTATAATATAATAAAAATATAAGAATCACTCTTTCGAATATTCACAACTCTCTAAAAAGCATGAAACCTAACCCATCAAAGATTCGTTTCGTACGCGACGCCCCGACCTCGACCCTTCTCCCCCACGCACCGCCTTTCCAAAAACATTAAAATATCATATATTTCTTCCGTCCCATTTTATATGTCATTCCTTTTTATAAATAGCTGAACCACAATACTTGTCATTTTATAAAATTTATGCATAAATTACCATATTTTGCCTATCATACTCTTGATAGAATAGTTAATTAATTTTGTCATTTATTAATAAAGTTGACTTAAGAAAACATTAAATAATGGTAGAAGGGGAAAGTTACATCATTTCTTAATGCAAGTGCAAAGTAAAGCATGACATATAAAATGAGACAGAGGGAGTATATTTTTTTGAGTTGTTCAGTATTTGAAATTTATTATCTCGACTAATTGGAATTATGTTTAATAAGTCCATTATCAAGGCAAACATTTTATATTCAGAAGTTTTTTTTTTTTGAGATATGAATTTGAAATTTTTGGTTAAGGACAAAGGAATGAATAACCTGATCCATATCACTTGATATTACATTACTATTAAAAAAAATACGAATTAATGATGAATAAATTATGCAGCTAAACAATAAAATTCATTAATAATCTTATTTAGAGATGAAATAGTGATTTAGTAACGAATTAGTGATGAAGCTCTTGGATAATTAATTTTAGACTTTTGTAGTGCATATTTTTGTTTCGATTAATTCAATTCAAGAAAAAAAAAACGCTCCTTATCAAAAGTTTATTTCTTTTGAAGGTTCAAACTTGAAACTGTGAATAAACTTTATTCATCAACCCCACTTCTTATAGTTTATGATATTGATTAGAGTAATCCATATTCATATTGCCCATGACTCATAATAGGAAAAATGCTATCCTTCCTACTAAATATTTCTCTATCTTCATATTTAAATTTGAAATCTCATTCATACTATCACACTTTTTCCTTATAATATAATTTAGTGATACAAGTTATATTAATTCAGATTCGTAAGATTGAATTCTTATCGAAAAAACATTGCATATTCAAAATATTTTTTATTTTCAGAACTCAAACTCGGACTTGAAATGTTAAGACTGAGTAAAGGGCTTGATGGTCTAGGTAGATTTTTCTACATGTACCAAAGATTAAAATCTTTTTTTATTTCTTATATACCAAGTTTATTCCCTTTTATGATTCTTCTTAGATCCCTTTATTCTTTAAATTTCCCATTCCGGATCTCTCTATGTTTATAACAAAACAAATCAACTCTCTCATTTAAAATCCTCCTTCTTGGTCCCCTCATTTCTCTCATTGTAGCATTTGCATAATAATATTAAATAATTAACAATTATTTTTCTTTCATACTTTCCTTCTTAGGTCAATTAAATCATCTCACAAAAGCTGGAAAATTTCAAAGAAAAAACCCTTTTTCTTTACAAAGAAGATGATGAACAACAACAATTTTTCAGAGAAAATGGAGAGATGTCAACAATATATTGATGCTCTTGAACAAGAAAGAACAAAAATTCAAGTTTTCTCTAGAGAACTTCCACTTTGTCTTGAACTTGTTACTCAAGGTAATTTTATTTTTTTTCAATACCTCACTTTTTTTTAGATTTTTATCCTAATCCATACAATATAACAAAACCCCATTTCTTCATTTTTGTAAATTTTTTTTGTTTCATGATTTGTATTATTCAAAAAAAAAAAATGAAACCCCATTTCTTCATTTTTTGTGAATTTTTTTCTTCAAGATTCTATGCTATTCAAACAAAATAATAAAACCCCATTTGTTTGATTTCTTCATTTTTTGTGATTTTTCTTTTTGTTTAATGTGGTAAAGATAAAATTTAGTGTTCCAAAGGATTTATTCATCAAGATTCTATACTATTTATCAAAATAACAAAACCCCATTTCTTAATTTTCTTCATTTTTTGTGATTTTATTGAAAATTTTATTCTACTCATCCTCTAGCATGACTCGAATACTCAATTACTAATTAACAATAAAGGTGTTCAACCACTCGAGCAAGCGTTACTAGTGATTCAAACAAAAATAATGAAACCCTATTTATTAATTTTCCTTTTTTATGCCTTTCAAACAAATAACAAAACAACATTTCTAAAATTTGTTAATTTTTTTTTATCTTATATTAATTTTATTTTTTGTTTGTTTTTAATGTGCAGCTATTGAATCTCACAAGCAACAATTATCTGGTACAACAACAGAATACAACCTTAATGCACAATCTACTGAATGTTCTGATGATGAACATACATCTAGTGATGTTCCTGTTTTGGAAGAATTTATTCCATTAAAAAGCACATTTTCTCATGAAGATGAAGATGAAGATGATGAAGAAAATCAATCTCATAAATCAAAATCTTTTATTATTAATAATAATAATAATACTAGTAATTCTACTAGTTCTAAGGATACAAAAAATAAAAAATCTGATTGGCTTAGATCTGTTCAGCTTTGGAATCAAACTTCAGATCCCACCCCAAAAGAGGTAACTAATTTTAGAATTTTTTTTTTTAAACACTTCTGTTAATTATTTTTTTTGTTGTCTAATTTTTATTTTTGTGGGGGTATTTTAGGAATTAATACCTAAAAAGGTGTCGGTTGTAGAAGTGAAGAAAAATGGAAGTGGAGGAGCATTTCATCCTTTCAAGAAAGAGAAAAAAGCCGTCGCCGTCGTAGAAACAACGCCAACTAGTGGCGTTGTTTTGACGGCGACAGATAGTTCCACCGTCGAGAATGGCGGTGGAAGTAAAAAAGAAGATAAAGATGGTCAAAGAAAACAAAGAAGGTGTTGGTCTCCAGAGTTACATAGAAGATTCTTACATGCCTTACAACAACTAGGTGGCTCTCATGGTAATAATTTTAAAGAAAAATAAGTAATATTTTTTAATTTGAAACGAATTTTACTGTTTAGCTATATAATAATTATCAGTCGTAATCCTTTGTATTTAATTTTGTTTTGCAGTGGCTACACCAAAACAAATTAGGGAGTTAATGAAGGTGGATGGACTCACTAATGATGAAGTTAAAAGTCATTTGCAGGTTTGTTTAAATGATTAATGAATATTCCAGATTTTGTCTTTATATTTATTTATTTATTTTTGTGCTCCTTTCTTTTTCAAAAAAGTATTTATTTATCTTTGGCAAATGTGAAACATGATAAACTTTGATGTATATCAAAATTTGGAAAATGGATATTTTATATTTTTTGTTTGGTAGTGCAAAATTGATTAGGGGTCCATCAACAAATTCTAGTACAAACTTGGATTATTTTGTATAGATAGACTCAAGAATTTTGGATAACTACACCTTTACTTCCTATATACATTATATTTTTCTTTTAAATTCATATGAATTCAAATCGTTTTTCTATATTCTTAGAATTGAAGTAAGATTATAAATTATACTGTTGTTGTTATTATTGCCGTTACGCAACTAAATAACAATATATTTTTTTTGTTATAGAAAATCTACTACTTTTGAGATTTGGTTTAGCTAAATTTGGTAAATGTAGCTGTATATATATCTTTATATGAGCTAAAAATCAAAAGGTCTTTGAATTTAGACTATAGTAAGCTTTCTAAAATTCTTTGTACAAATCTACTTTTATATGGATACCAAATCAAGCAACATATATGATGTACAACTTTCCAAGTTATTTACCACTAATTACAAATTAAAATGTACAATTTTTATTTTTTTTACGTGACTTGATATTGTAAAATTTCTTTTTTACATGAATATATATATATATACATGCATGACCTAAATATCGTTTGTTGTCTTTTCATATAGAAATATCGATTACACACGAGAAGACCTAGTCCTTCATCAATTCACAATAACAACCAACAACCACCACAATTCGTGGTCGTCGGAGGAATATGGGTCCCACCACCAGAATATGCCGCGATGGCCGCTGCAGCACCAGCGGCCTCGGGCGAAGCATCGGGAGTTGCCAACTCAAATGGAATTTATGCACCTATTGCCACTCATCCAAAGGGTCCACTCCATGATCATGCATCGGGTGGAACCCTAAGACAACATAACAACAAGTCGTCGCGCTCAGAGGAGCGCGACGGGAGCCACAGCCACTCTGACTGTGGCGGTGTGCATTCGAATTCTCCGGCGACGTCCTCTTCTACTCATACAACTACTGCTTCACCAGCTTACTAAAAAAATGTGTAGAAATTTTTTTTGTAATATATTTTTGTTTTTCCTATTTTCTACTATAAATGTAGAAAGTAATATAGAGTTGATTTTTCGGTCTTTTTAGAAAAAAAAAAACTTATCGTATTTATTTGTTTCTTTTTTAGTTTATATTTTAAGAAAATATTATATATCTTTTGTGATATCTTTTGAGGATCTTTTAGACGCATTTTGACAATGACAGTAATTAAGATTGAATAATATGGTGGGTTCCCATTGTTTTGGTTTACTGAAATGACACGTAGATTTTAAAAAATAAAATAATCTTGCATAGCGTTTAATTTAAGCAGAATTATTCTTTACTTTATAGCAAAATTATTTTCACTAGCTACATGAACCCTAGGTTATTTTTAGCCCTTTTTTATTGAAGCATAGGAAATTTTAATGTACGCGGTAGGGTCTAGTCAAGCCCCTAAGCCATTCCAAGGCAACGATGATGATAACAATAATAAATTCAACGTAATTTTACAAGTCAATTTGAGAGGATGAAATATACATAGTTTTGTCTTTATGGGTAGAAGGAACTTAAAATCGACGTCTTTATGGGTAGAAGGAACTTAAAATCGACGAGGTGAACAAGATCATACAGGCGGAATATAATTTTTGAAAATGAGAAATTTTAATGTAATTACAATGTTAATTTTATATGTTGAATCCTTGAAGGAAAAAAACTACTATTAAGAAAACATGAATTACCGATAAACAAAAATTATTTTTGAGAGTGAAATAATGTGAATTTTGATTAATATTTTAAGATGTTTTTTTAAAAAAATATTATTTTGATATGAGAAAATATACAATTTATAGTATTTTTCGTATAATTTTTAATATTCAAAATTTAATTTTAAAATATTGCATAATTTAATCTAATTTAACTCTAAAAATCAATCAAATTAATTTTTGAAAAATAAAACGTGATAAATATATTGAGACGGATGGAATATTTCTTAATAAACTTGGTGTGAAGTTCAATCTTTGATGTATCACAACTGTAAAAAGGAGAGTGAATCCAGCATAATTTTTGAAAAAGCAATTAATGGAGATAATGTTTGGTAAGTTATCAAAAGTCAATACATATCTTAAAAAATTATTCCATAGTTTTGGAATAATCCACTGTTTTTTTCCCCACAATAATTAGTTTCTTATTAATTACTCTAGCTGTGGTGCAACTGTACCAACTTAATTGACTCAAAATAAATAAATTATTGAAATTAATACTCTCTATCCAATAATAATTGTTCATTAGTATTACTTTGATACAGAAATTAAGAAGCAGTAAATAGTAGAGATAATTTTATCAAATTACCCTTATTAAATATAAGTGATTTAAATATTGAAAAAGAAATAGGATTTAATAGTAAAGATAAAATTGATACAATATGATAAATTATTTATTAATTTTATAAGCTGAACATATTATTACACCTTTTAAAATAATATAATGGACAAATAAAATTGAAAAGAGTTTGTAACACCTTTTTTTTTTGGTGTTTAGATTTAAACCCCACAAACTAAAGAATACAAATATAAAAATAATTTAATAGACTTGACTTTTGAGCAATATTTTACATCATAGTATATAATCAATTAAATTGAAAGATAATTAGATGTGATGGAAATTTAATTGCGTAGAAGTTACTCGTCCTCTTTGTATGACTCATCACTTATCATATACTTTTCTCAATGTCGAAAAGCTGCATTTTTTCAACAGGAAATATTTGCACTAATGTCCAATTAAAGGGAGATTGCGATACCAATCAAAAAGACAATCGTTGTTATTAAATAACAAAATAAATTTTGAAATTTATTAAATTTTTTTTAGAAAAGGCATTTTTTACATTTTATTAAGATGATTATAATCATCACACAATGACAAAATTAAGAATTTTTGGTTGTTTTTATATCATTTTAAATATTTTTTACCTCATGAATTATCTTTTGCAGTTAAGTTATATGCGAAATTTATATTTTACGACGGTGTCAGAGTCGGGCCTATCATAATTTATCATTTACTCAATGTTCAATCTTCCTTATATAATTCTTACCTTACAAGCTTGTAGCATTGCTCGATATTCAAGCCAAATAAATCAAATCTTGATGACTCGATAGAAAAATTTAGGCAAAAATGTTAAAAAGCTCATGATAAATTCATTAGAATTTCCTGTCAAAATCCTAACCAACGTCATAACTTATTTGTTAAGATAATCTCTTGACTAAAATCCTAACAATTCATCATAACTTATTATTAAGACAATTCTCGCGACTAAAATCCTAACAATTCACATTATCTGTGGTCAAAATTTTGATATTAATCACCATAGCTTGTTGTTAAGACAAATTTTATTCAATATTAAATAAAGAAATCTTGATGACCGACTAGAATTTTGCTTTAGATTTTAGAGAAACGTTTATTTTGGTATCTTTTTTTTTTCTTCTTAATTAGGTTTTTTTTTAAGTAGCTAGTAACATAAAAAATAAATATCTTATTCATACAAATCATCAATTAATTCAGAGTCACATTATATATGACTATAACCTATTAAGAAAGATACGTCACCCATTATAATTTTTCATATACAATACTCGAACCTGATTAAATAGTGAAACCCATCAATTGGCTAATTAAAAAGAAAAAAAAGTTTTATTTTGAGTGTAAAGGTTCGATAAGGATGGTTCCAATCGGAATATTCCTAGGAATAAGAAGGATATGCAACTTTGGATACTAATATTCTATTTAGTGCTAAGTTGGATTTATATTAAAATATATATAACAGGTCAAGAAAAATTATATTGTATTTTTTTAATAAAAAGTGTATTGCCCCTCATGCATGTTAGGTATTATTTCTATTTCGTTGGTCAAGTATATTCTCTTGTTTTTTTTTTTAACTTATCTTATTTTGTCAATGGAAATTTTTTTAAAGATATTCTGATTCTTGAGAATCTTAAATTGTCCAAGATTCTATTGCCTTTTTTTTTCTTCCCTCCACTAACAAAGATTATATATTCTGTTATATTTCTCTTTCACATGTCCTTTAAAAATATAAAAAAAATTATTTATAAATTTAATTTAATTTTGTAAAAATATTATTAATATTATTACTTCAGAAAACAACTAATTTCAAGAGTAAAATTAAGAAAAAACATTAATTTTAATTTTATTTGTAATTTGATAAAAGTTTTGGAATGATTTTGTTTTAATCAGTAATATTAACGACTAATATCGATGTAGTATTTTGGCTATTCACATTTCATACAGTTCAAATATGAGTTTTATTGGCACCCAATCACAAGTGATTTTGACTTTTGGAAAAATCAAATTTAATAGGGCTGTTTGAATAATTTTAAAAGTATATCCTTTTGTTCAACTTTATTTTTTAAACTAGGTAATTTGGCTGCGCTACGCGCGGTGATAAAATATTATATCAAAGGTATAAATTAATCGTTTCATATTTTTTGAATATAAAAGAATTTTTAGTTCAAATTCTTCTTTTTAGTTCAAATTCAATTAAATAGATCAAAATTCATATTTGAATTCATCTTATTATTCACACTGAACTAATTTCTAACAAATAAAATATACTATTACATGAAGGAAAGAAAAGTACTTTAAAAATAATGAAAAACAAAGTTGATCATTTTGTGTAATTTACACACAATACATATGTGGAACATCGTAGATTGAAGATAGAGAACTATTTTTAAAATTTTATATTTTAAATTTGTTTTTCTTCAATTATACTTAAAAAGATACTTAATAACATAACGTTTATAATGTGAAACTAATAATACTAAAAAAGAACGAAATTCAACCGATAATAACATGAATAGCTCAAATAGATCGTAAGAAGTGTAAAAATTATTTGATAAATATGGAAATTATAATGTCTAAAACGTAAAAATGAGCATATGTAAGTTATGCTAAATTTAAATTGATAAAAATTTTAATTGAAGTAAAAATATGTTGTAGTGTAGATTTAGTACTTAATACTCTTTGTCAATGTCCGTTATTTAACTTGAAATAAGAAACGTTTAGGTGCCTCATTGGCTCTCTTTAACTTATGTCTTAGCAGTTATGTGAGAAAGACTTTAAGAAGAATTAAGAAAAACACTATTTCAAATATGAAATAAAAAGAATAATCTCGAGCAAGAGTTTTATGAAATAAAAAAATTATGGATTTATATAGACAAAAATGAAGGAATCTTTAAAGAAAATATAAATATTTCTTTGTGCAATAGTATTTTTAAACTTTTGTTAGTAGTTTGTATTATTACACACAAAGTAACAATAACTAATTGCATCTAAACAAAAATACAGACTTGCAATAATAAAATATTATAAAGATTCAAACTAAGGAAGTTACATAGAGAAAACACAAACAAACACATCTTCATTGGGACCTTATCATAAGAAAATAGATAAAAATAAGAATACAGAATCAGTGCCCACTTTTTTGAGCTCTTGTTCGGCACCCTCTTTGACAAACTAATCAACATTCAAGAGTCATCTTCACCATGTAAAGTTAAAACATGAATTTTATAATATTATAATAATATTACAAAGAACAATGAAATATAAAAAATAACTTTGAGTTGGGATTTCATGAAACAAAAAACTTGTGAATTTATATTGATAAAAATGGAGAGAAATCATAAAGTATCTTTAATTTTATAATTTAATAGTTGGAGGTTATAAATATGAAAACTTAAAAGTCATGAAATTAATGATATTATTAAGAATAGATGTTTAATAGATTAAAGTTATGGAGGTGAAACTTAAAAATTAAATAAAGAAGATTAAGAAATCTATATTATATAAAGATATAAAATTCTTGAATTGAATAAATAATAAAAAGAAGTAAAATAAAGAACAAAAAAAAAGGAAAAGACTATAAAATAAATAGATAAAACCCATAAAATTTAACTTTCGTGAATAATTTGTTGGAATTCTTTTTAAATCAAATGAAAAGGGTTGTAA